TTTTTTTTTGTTTGTTTTTTTACATTTTCCAGTCACATTTGTTGTCTTTCTTTACATTAAGTAGCATTGTGATTGTGTCTTTCCAGTAGGCCATTGCTCCATTGGCTGTATCCTGCAGTGGTTTTAATGTCTTTAATGTTTAGCACCGCGGTGTCTAATAGCTTGAATGCTAACACTGCATCCGGTAGTTCCATTTTGAACTTACGTAACTTGTTGTACCGTCGTTCAAATTCGATAATGTAATCCATCATGGACGTGTCGCCACGTCTGTCGATCCGATCAAATTCCGTGTAAGCTTCGTACTGTCGATCCTTTTCTTCTTTTGAAAACACTGAATCCAGCTTGTTTAAAAGAACGCTCATTCCTGTATCGTCGTTGAGATGTTCCGCAGCGATTTCCAGCGCGCTTTCTCTCGCTCTTCCTGATAGAGACAGGGTAACCGCTAGGGCCTGCTTTTTTTTGTCCAAGTCGGTAACAAGTCTCCAGATTTCAATTTCATTTTTCCAACTTTCGTAAGACGTCTTCTCGTCGAACTGTGGGGGAACTTTGTAATTTCCAGCAGCGGCCATCCTCTGGTACCAGTGTTGACTCGGTAATCACACTGCTGAGTTAGCATCCATACTTTAATGATCGCCATTAACAGTTAACATGCGCTCCCGCGCTCCTCACACAACAGAATGAAAAAACTACAGCTCTAGCCCCGCCTCCCACTACCTTACATCTCACACATGTGCAGTATGCTACTTACAACTTAACAGTGGGGACAGTAGGAAAGAAAGAACTGCCTTTTAACAAAAGAAGCCTCCAGCAGAATCCAGCTCGCGGTCAGTCAGGGAGGAGCTATAAGGCAAGTTAAAGTTGAGCAGTGACAAACATTACTCACAAATGAAAAGCAACTCCCCTTTAACTCCAGTCCTCCCATCCCAGCCAGTTCCCCTTAAGGTGTCAAAGAAACTAATCAACCAAATACTAGATTACACACTCTGAAGGTGTCAAGGAGCTTTATGTTAAAGTTCATGACTATTAGAAAAACACTGAACATCTATAACTTGTCTGAAATCATTCTCAGGAAAGAGGCATTGGTTCATCTGATAAAAAAAATCAACGGTCTAGTTAGAGCTGTGGTGGGAAATTAAAATTAACTGCAATAATATTGGAAACTAGAATGGCTCAGACTTCCTTCTGATGATTTTTGTTTTTGTACAGAATCATCGAAGACACCAGGTGGGAACATGAGCGCTATGGGCCTGGACACTCTAGAGGAGGAGGAGGAGAAAGCCAGGTTCTTTGCACAGATAGAGGCAGGAACTTCATCAGCTATAGATTATTCCAAGCTGAACAGAGAGTTGGATTCAAGCCGTTCTACCTTTGCCACTGAGCTCAGGTATGGAAGCAGCTAAGGGCATTAATTAGACTGAAAAAAATCTTGTAAACATTCTCCAGACAGAATGCATTGTAAATTTAAAAGATTTCCCTGTGTGGAAGGTATGTTCTGCTGTTCTGCTGTGCAGGGAACATAGGGGGAACATACCTCCTCACAGGGGATTTGACAGAAATCAAATGACAGACCTGTCATTTGACTGTTCTAACAATACTTTTCAGCACCATTTTTTGACCTTTGAGCATGATGACACAGCCATTTGTGTGACAATGGTTCCTTGGTAAAGCTCTGAGTGAGTTGATGAAATCAATGAAATAGTTTCCTTGTAGGAAAGACGATGGGCCAGCAGTGGAGCCTTCTGCTGCAGCAGAAGCTGTGGGAGAGTCTTCAGGTAGGAGGGCAGTTCTGAGTAACAACCCTGTTAGAGTCTCTCTGGGTTTTCTCATCTCTCTTTTCTCTCAGCCTACTCTGGCACCCCACAAAACAGTGAAGAGTTTGAAGATGAGGGTGGCATAAAAGAGTCGCAAACGAAGGTTTGAAAATTCACTGTCTACCCATTTTATCTTCTTGCTTATATTATATCTATATCTTATATTAACATTTATGTGTCTTCATCTAAGATGCATTATGCATGGCTGCAGCTATAAATCCCCTTTTAGATTTTTTATTATGAAATGTTTATGAGATCACTTTTTCTACTCTGTTTTTAAAATGTTAAAAACAGAGTTTCCCTACTAGATCAAAATGATCCGCACATGTAAAATGGAGAATAGCAGCTAAGCTAAAGCATACCACACAGAGCTTTCATCATTGTTAGTGTATGATGATGCTGGATAATTTGGAACATGTCTATATGTTCTTTGGATGGTCTTATCTGGATGCTTTCTTTCCAGTTATCTAGTAGTCATTTTTTGATAAACAGGTACAGTCCAATACATAAAGGTCGGTAGCACTGGAGTACTTGCTTCTGAGTCCAAGATTTGATCACCACTACACTTTCTGACGCACCAGTTTGACTGTGATATTTGTCTTGTCTCAACCAGTTGGACATCTCAAACAAACTGTCCTTACATCGAAAATCTGAGGGGAAAAAAAGGGATTTGATGTAAAATGTTGAGAATTTGGCTCGGTAGTTGTTTTTGTTTGGTTGTGGTTAATCATGTGTGAGAGCAAAATCCAAGAGAAAAATGTCCTCTTTTTCTTTGCTTTGATCATTGTAGTATTTTTGTACTAATATTTCAGATCAGTGGTGAAATATCACCTCAGCAGTGTGTCATTTCAGAGACGCACTGCTTAGGTGTATCTGTCAAATGACAGACAGAGAGCTGCAGCAGCCAATACAGTGTTGCTTTCACCTTCATCTTGTATCTTGTGTATCATGCAAACATTTCAACAAATTAAAATGTACTGTCTAAAATAGTTGCGCAAGGTATGCACATGAATACATGAGCTGTAATTGAGCCAGGTGATAGAGACCAAAACATTTCACAGTTTTTTTCTCTTTTTCCATAATTATCCACTATAATTTTCCTTATTATCAACTATATAGTATGTGTAGTAGCTCAATAGTATCTGTATGAACAGAAACTGAAAGAAGAATAATTAGTTTCCACTACTTGTTGCAATCTCTTCAAATACTTACCTAACATACTGCTTGGTACATTATGTGTATCATCTGCCTTATTGATTAAAAAAAGTCTTCCTTGATCATTGCTATTTTTTTTTTTTTTTTTTTTTTTTTTTTTTTTTTTTTTTTTTTTTTTTTTTCCCCACAATTGGGTAAAATTTTTAAAATTTTGTCATAA